AAAGGATCGATTTTCTTCGAAGAAAATTCTTATTCTCTAAAAAAAAAAAAAAATTAAGTTTCAATAATAAATGTTTGTTGTTGATAATCATTGGTTAAATTATAGTACGAGAAATATTTTGTTTTTTTTTTATAATTATTGTTTATATTACCAGGTAACTCACATATTATACTCTCCGCCACTGCTTGCTCCATGCGCTAGTCTGTTATTCCTAGCAGAGTGTTTAATGTTCGAAAGAGATGTAGCTATTTGGAATCGAAAAAAGTTCGAGAAACGACCACTTTTGGTCAAAGAAGATAAAAGCATACTCGCTTATCGCAGGTGGTATGCCCAATTTTATTCACAGCATAGTCCGAGTTATCATTCTGCAATTAAATCTTTACAATGGTAGCTCAATATCTTTCTAACTGTGAAAGATTTTTTTATTTTTGATGTTAAATTTTATATCGGTAATAAGTTGTAAGGATAATAATATTATCCAACTATACTGAATAAATACACGTGTTTAGTGTAATAAAATATATATATATGTAAGATATATTGATTTATTCGTATAATGTTAATATTTTAAGAATGACTACGAAGTATGATGTATTTAATCTAATACATATATAAATTGATATTATTGTCTGTAGATATCATTAATATTCTTCTTCATAAGAAAAGAGTAAACTTTTATACCTTCATTTCCCTTCTTTATAGGTATTATTTAAGTTTAGAAATAAAGTTTGAGAAATTAATAAATTACTCGAATTTATATCTTCTAAATTTGTCGTCCAAAAGTTCTCACCGCTGCTCATGCTTAATAAAGAAAGATAAAGTCACGTGACAGATACATTGGTCACGTGTCCTAGCTGATTGGTTGATTGGATCCGTGGCGGCTCTTCAGCGCCACGGAAACAGTTAGGTTGCTGAACACAAAGAATCCGTTCTCGTCGCGCAAGGGAAGAGCATGACTTCCGAAATAGACCTGGATGATGTAAGTAATTTAAATTTCTCGCGGTTTTTCCTTTTGACCAATCGGATTTGACCTTGTGCTATTTAAACATTTTGGCGCCTACTGTCTTGAATCATAACCTTAATTTAATTAAATTTTTTTTTTTGTTGTTAGTCATCCAACATATTTTAATTGTAATCGTTAATTATTTTACATGGTTATTTGAATTTATAAAATAAAAGTAATAGAAAATCTAATTGAACAAATAACACTTCGCTTTTATATTTTTGTAATATGATTTATGTCAAATATCAATTTTCCACTTCTTTAGAATTCTGTAATTTATTTAAAAAACAAAGGATATAAAAATGCTCTGAAATGCTATCATAAAATTACATAATAAGAACAATATATACAATATATGATAATACATAAAACAATATAAATTATATATACTAATGGTCAATATGAATTAACAAATATGGACAATCTTTATTTATAATGTCTAACAACATTAATGTCTAAATCGTATTTTCTATAATAGTATATAATACCAATAAAAATATTAACCTCTGTATGCATTTAATTAACAAATAAAATAAATATATTCACCATTTTTTGTAATATTGACTATTTTATATACTAATAATTTATTTCTTTAATGTTAAAAATAAATTAAAAAATAATAAATAGATAATCACAACTAATTAAATCTTAAATTCAAATTTATACACGTCATTTTATTGTATTTAATTAG